GAATACAAGGGAGAGTTTTCGGGTTTGAAGGGAAAGGGTTGTTGAGGTGTTTATGGTGTTTCTTGGTTATTTTCAGGGATGCCATATGGGATTATGAGAATTGAAATGAATATACTATCAGCTATATATACAGGTTCAGAGGCATAACATTTCTGTGTTTCTTTTTCAAGATTCTTTTAGTTTTTGAGATGGAGGACAGGTTGCCCTTTCGGACATATTAATGTGGGAAACTGATGGTGAAAATGTGGAGATGGAAATATGTGCATGAATTTACCATTCTATCCTTATTTATTGACATTTATGGTAATCCACTAGTTTTCCAATTTTGACCAATTAGAAAGAAAGATTCAGGACTTTGACATTTCGATTCTGGGTTTTGAACAAATTTTGAATTGGTCATATGAAACTAGAAGATGAGAATAGAATGAAAGGGGCACTTTATCGACTCTAAATTCATTGTGTATGGAACTTAATTTATTACTTGTTTATCTTTATATGAGTTTACGTGTAGAAGTTTTATTATCTTTCAAATTGCAATTATTAGAAATCGAGATAGAGATTAGAGGTATAATCTATAGTCGTAGTTGTGTACAAGAAAAAAAATGACAACTAGAGTTAGCATGGCCCATTTTTCTCTGGTAGGATAGAAGTAGGTGGGAGGGCACCCAGACGATTTTCTTTCAAGAGTTTTGTTTGGCCCCCATTTTGTGGAAATAAAAAGGAGTGGAATAGTGTTTTTTTCGAAAATGAGTGGTTAAAAAAAAGGAAAATTTTTCGATTTACGTATAATATTATTTTATGGAAGGTTTTGTGATCTAAAATAGAAGTGAGAGAAATGGAATGGAATGAAAATTAATAGGGTATAAAATGTGTACTTCAAAAAATAAAAGGTGGTTAAAAAAGAATGAAAAGTTTTCGATTTACGTGTAATATTATTTTATGGAAGATTTTGTGATCTAAAATAGAAGTGAGAAAAATGAAAATGGAATGGAATGAAAATTAATGGGGTCTCAAATGTGTGCTTCAAAAAATAAAAAATAAAAAGGCTGCTAAAACTGTGCATCAAGACGTGAATCAAGGTGCGTTCACTTAAATCAGTAGCATTTTATATAGAACAAAAGCAAAACTCAAATTCCTTTACAAAATCACTGAACTGTATTTTGTATTCATTTGAAATTGAGGGTGTGTTTGATTGTAAGAATAGAATTTAAATAGAAAGAAGATCAATTCTAAGTAATTGAATCATCTAGAAATTATTTGTTTATAAATTGTCAATTAAATGCGTTTGATTAATTTTATTTTCAACCTAAAAAATGTTATACTTGTCCATTTTTTATTGGTAAGTAGATGAGAGAGAAATGGAGTAGATGAAAGAGAAAGAAATATTGAATTACTTGAAAAATAAAAACATATTCCCTAAAGGATATATTTTTTTTTTTTTTTTTAAGAAAAATATAGTCACGTGACCAAAAGTAGGAAGAAATTTTCCATGAAAAAAAATATCAATCAAAAAGTACAAAAGTAGGAATTGAACGGAAAAAGACACTTTCCATAGAAAATATTAGCAATCAAATGCAATCTAAGTGTAATAGATTGTATAGCATTCAATTGAATGATTTTTGGAAATTAAATTAAAAAACTTCATGTTATTAAAACATGTCATTAGTTTCTAAATTATGAAAGTGTCTTATAATTCTTGATTTAAATTATGAAAGTGTCTGATAATTCTTGATTAAAAATAGAAACATTTTGCTTGAACCTATGTTTTATAAGTAATAAAATTTTAGTTAAGAGGTACAAATCTTTGTCACCTTAGGCATGTAAAGTGGTCAATTAAATGACCTGTTTTGAGCACGTGATTGCTTCCATCGTGAAATTCTTTATATTTCCAGGAACTGGGCAATATTCAGAAATGGAGCTTCTTGTTATGTACATAGTCGTATATACAGCCAGATTCGTATGATTACAAACCTCTTTAATTTGATCAAATTTTCAGTCTATTTGTTCGTTTCTTGATTGTAATAGTTCTGTAGTTCCAAAGTTAATTGGACATTATTTAGTTTGTATGTATTGTCGTGTTGGATCGTAGAAAGATTCAAAATACCTGGCAAACAAAAGTTCAAGATTACGTTATGTAAATTATATCTAAATTGTGATTTAAATCTTCAAAGTGGTCGAAAACCTCCCCAACAGAGAGATGCAAAGGAAATACATTTTTCATTTTTCGACAGAAAATGTAAAAAGATATAAATTCACTTTTTTTTTACTTACAAAAAGAAAAAAGTAAATTTATATATTTTTCAGACAGTTAAATTAAGTGTAAGTGTTATGCCCTAAATCCAATCGATTTAGGTTGTAAATACTTGTAGTATGTTTAATGCATTTATTTTTTGTAAGATATATTATTTATTTAAATTAATATTTTGATAAATAATATTAAATAATAGAGTACGAAAATTCAAGTTTAAATTATTTGTTAATCATAAGGAATTGTGGCTGTGAGATGCAAATTACATATAATTGAATCTTGAATAATCCATGGTCATAAATAATAATGAGATACGAATATTGTTATTACAGATAGATCATCACATGTGGTATTTCTTACTTGTGAAGTAAATAGCTGATCTCACAAGCTAAAGTGTGGTGACACTTAAATGAAATCGTATATGTTTTGTTATAGAACGAAATATTGGAGACTCGCTAAAAATTTTCACATGGATAACTATCTGAGTGTCAGTGGTTAATCTCTAACGTTAGGCAGTAGAATTGGTTCTTTGACTTGAGGTCGTCATAGTGCCTTATATGAGGACAGTTATGTTTTGACGGTGTTGGATGTTGTTATGTTAAGGGCCACTAATACGACATCGTTCAAGTATGTCAATAACCATATGAAGGTTGTGAATGACCAATAGAGGATTCGTCACTCTTAGATAGTAAAAGATTGTGATCTGCATTGTTCAATTAAGTCAATAATGAAATTACATAAGTCGAAAAGGAGTTTTCGACTCACGTTGACTTAATAGTAGAATGAAAGATATGATCGATAATCGAAATTGACGCACTTTCATATCTCGTAATTTATCAGATTATATTAATGAAGTGATTATAGTTTCATGGTAAACGAACAAGTTTGGTTTTGTCATACCACGTGACATTTTTCGTCACATGTGTTATCATGATACATTGCTAGATGTTAATTTGGGACGGAGAGTGTGAATCGGTGATAAATTAAAAAGGTATTTTAATTTATCAATTTTGATTATATCAAAATAATATTTCACATCATTAGATATTGTGGTCGGAAATATAATGGATCGCACATAAAAGAAAATTGGAAAATTGTAATTTATCAATTACTTAATTTCACAATCATTGAATAAATTAATTAATTTGGTTGATTATTTATAGGCTCGAATTAATTAATTTGATTAATTAATTCACGGACCGAATTTAATTAAATGGATTAATTAAATATTGGACCGGACCAGACCAAACCCGTTTGGATTTATATAAATACATGGTTAGGATTTTCAATCTTAAGAGATTTTCATAATTTCTTGTTAGCACAAGAGGATAAAATCATGATAGCCGC